ACGATAGCGGAACAGACACTACAGGCAGAGAGAGAGAGAGAGAAAGAGAGAGGGAGAAAGAGAGAGGGATAGAATGAATGAGACTGGGACATGGATTCGTAGTCGAATTCGGACTCGGATGTATTTTTGTATATGCATAAAAATATATGTACATATATCTGTATCTTGATCTGCATATATGCTAATGCCAACTGCTTGTCGGCTTGATTACTCATAAAGTGCGCTGAAAGATACGCAATACCCTGTGAATTGCAGTGGGCAGGGGTATGCTACAAATATATATAGTATAGGGAAGAAGTTGACGTGGTTGAAGTGGTTAAATATGTTACAGATGAGCTCAATGTATCCAATAATGTAATACCCTCTACTTATCCATTAAAGGGGTATGCTACTTACATAGATGTATAAAAGAAAATATAGAAATTTAAATAGAAAAATCTCAGACGAACTAGGAGAATAATGTTATTATAAATATGTTTTAATAATCAATATATATATTTCATAAAAATACCCTTTAATCCATCAACATAGAGCCAAGCCCAGTGAACACGCTTTAAATATAAATGTCAAACTGAAGCAGACCAACACTCATGATAATATGATGCCTCACAGGGTATCTCTTACTCGTTCACTTTCACTCCTGCTCCATTTGAAGCCTATAAATATTTATGCGATCTTTTTGCGTGGACAACACGAATTGTAATTTAGTTTTCAACATCAAAGGCGTGGGAATGAGCCACAGAAAAAAATTAAAATTAAAATGAAAATGAAAAGAGCAACAAAATAATAAAATAAAACGAAACTGAACGAAACGGCTCAGCCTATCACAATGATAAATGCGTTTGTTTTTGCCGAATGCCGAATCCTTTCAGACAAATCCTCGCAGATTTATGGAGGGCAACAAAAAATTATAACAAAAAACGAAACGAAACGAAATGCCAAAAGCCTCGAGGTTCGAGCCTAAAGCGAATGCCGCCAATGGAACGGAAATTTGTCGCCGCAGCAAATTGAAAACGAGCCGCAGCTGACTTTGAAAGCCAAAATGGGCAAAAGAATTCTAACAAAAAAGTAGCTAAAAATAAGAACTGAAATTGAGGCATGTGGCGGCGCAGGGGCGTGGCACGGCAGGGGCTGACAGGCAGAGAGCGGCGGCTCCGGCTCCGGCTGCGGCTTCGACTTCGGCTTTCGATGACAATGACAAGCGGCGTCCGAGCGACGCGCGCATTTGGGTCAATGACGACGAAACCGAAGCGACGACGATGCCAATGATTTAGAACCTAATATTGAAGAGCAACAACAACAATAACAACAACTGCAGCAACAACAATGCGAGTCTGATCTGGAATTGGCGTTCAATCAAGCTGAAAATGTTGCATGAGAGCTGGCATCATTTTTAGCATGTGGCGACAGCGGCTTATACAACATGAATCTGACTAAAGGGAAGTTGTTGTTGTTGTTACTCTTGTTGTTGCTGTTGTTGTTGCTGTTGCTGTTGCTGTTGCTGTTGTGTGTGTGGCGATGATCATTTTGTTCAATCGATTGTAAACGATGCGTTGCGATCGTTTCGCTGCGGCTTTGATCAAATGACAAAATTGATCATTTTCTGTTTGAATGGATTTTGGAGCAGTCGCTTCGGCACTGCCCCGCTCCCCGCACCCCTTGTACCGCCCGCACCCTGGCCCACATGCAGCGCGGCTCTGTGCTGCCAACAATTGATTTATGTTGGCTGTTGTCTCCCTCTCTGTCTCTCTCTCGCTCTCGCTCTTGCTTTGTATGCTGTGTGGGGTCTCTGTTGTGTGGCATGTGCAACAGCAACAACAACAACAACAACTATCAAATAGCAGAGCTTTTGTGTTGAGTCAAAAGGTGCTATAAATCAAGCCAAATGTGAGCGCACCTCCAATTCGTTTGTTGAGTGAAGGTTTTTCAGCTGTTGTTGTTGTTGCGCATTTTCCGCAAATTAACAACAATGCGCAAAACATTTTCGCCTTGCAACAATTAATAGCGCACTCCGGCAGTCAAGTGCAGTCAAGTGCAGCCACAAGGTCCAAAGGTCCCCACAAAGAGTCTGTTGCAAGTCGCTTTTCTGAGTTGCAAGTTCGATTTCACATTCCCGTAGGGGTGAAATCTTGTTGTTTTATTTTTTTTTTCTCTCTCTCTGTATTTTGTTTACGTCGCGTTTTGTTTTTAGTTTCTTGAGCCTGTGGGTAATGGCCAAAAATTAGCTAAAAATTGCTAAAGTTTGACTTGCATGATTTATCTATAATTTTGCATCGCGACTCGCCACGCGGCCCAGGCCCGGCACTGGCATAGTCGCCATCTGATAGGCCCACAGTCAAATACACATAGAGAGCGAGGGAGAGAGAGAGAGGGAGAGAGGGAGTAAGCGGGGGGAATACCTCTACTATGCATATCTGACAGCCTGGGCCATTTTTAATGCGCTTTTCAGTCTAAGCGATTTGAAGTTTTCGTTCGGTTCGGTTCGGTTTGGTTTCGGTTTCGGCTTCGGTTTCCTTTTTGCAGCTTAACACTTGCGGGTGTTGTTGTCTACATAATTTCAGTGCAGTCGCAGCCTGTGCTGTGCCCCGCAACATGTAATCGTCGTAATAATAAAAATTTGCAAATGATTTCGTTACTCAATCTTCAATCTCTTTCATTGGCTATCGTTGCAGTCCTGGTTATGGCATGCCGGCTGGCCGCTGGCCACATCCAATGGAGCCCTCGTACTCCAGCTGAGCGACTCTGAATTCGCGCACGCACTCCAACCCGCCGAGCTCTATCTGTGTGTCAAATTGGGTAAGTGGAACGAACTAGTCATGGAGATCTACTCAAAAAGGCTATAACTATATAGATATATGATTAGCTAAAGGGAGGACTATGATTGTAGAGAATAAAGAACAGAGAATCATGAAGAGAGATGAAAGAAGAGTGAAATGAGAAAGGAGAGAAGAGAAGAGAGACAAAAATCAGAGAGAGGAGTAGAGACAAATGATGAAATGATAAAATATGAAGAAGAATATTTGAAAGACAAACTCATATCAATATGCAGTGGATAGTATAATGATCATTACTATATCTTACCATACACATATATCTCAGATATATGCATCCAATTTATTTTTAAAACAATCTCAATTTTTACCTTTAGCATACTCCACTAAAAATAGTTTCTCAGTTTGCTTTGCACTTATTCCAACTGATTACAGGCGACGCAGGGCAATTAATCTCTGTGAATTTACGACTCTATATATACACTCTCAACTGTTTTATCGGGCTTCATTAGTCATATTTGCACTTCCTTTTTCCTTTCAGATTCTGACGCAGAGGCCACACCGCAGCTTTATGTCGTTTGGCGCTCGTCCGAGCAGCAGCAGCAGCAGCAGCAGCCAGAGGGGAGCACACAGAGTGGAGGGCAGAGCAACTGCATTCATATCGATTACACAAAAACGCAACAGCAGCCACTGAGCCTGCTGCAACTGGAGATGTCAATGGCAGCCATGGGAGCAGCAACAGCCACAGCAACAGCAACAGCAGCAACTGCTGCAGCAGGACACGCACAGAGTGCGGCACAGGAGAGGGCGCAGTTTCAGGGTGAGGCTAACGAGGCCATCGAGTTGCCGCAGCTATTGCAGAATTTGCTCGTGAGCGTCGAGCGCAGCATTGAGCGCGTGTCGCTAAACGAGCTGCAGATGCCGCTGGCACTGCACGAGGATCAGCTCGATGAGGCCAACAACAACAACAACAGCAGCAGCAACAGCAACAGCAACAACATTGGATCGCCAAAGTGCGCACTGAGGCGCAGCGATTTAATTACCAAAAACAAACTGTTCAACAATCGTTACATGCTCCGGCGTCTGACCAATCGACAGGATAGCATGAACTCCACCTCGTCGGGCAACAGCAATGCCAGCGAGCGAAGCAGCACCAGCTCAAGCGCCAGCGAGGAGCTGCATAGCCATCTAAGCAACAACAACAACAACAACGGCAATGGCCATGGCAACTGCAACCACAGCAGTAACACCACCAACAACAACAACAACAATGCAGAGCTTGTTGCATCGACATCGCCTGCCTTGCCGCTATTTTGTTTGGGCAACTCATTTCCGCACATTGACAGCGACGAGGAGGCCACCGATGCTGGCGAGAAGCGACAGACACGCGGTAAGTCAAATGCCAGCGCGACGTATACGTAATGTATTGCATTACGCATACGCCAAGCAGCCCAGCCAATGCTCCACTTGCTGCGCTTATCTCAATTGCTGGGCGTTATTTCTATTTGCTTTGCCGTTTTTGTATGCTATGCAAAGCGCCACGCCCACAGCTAAACAATATTCAATTAAACGCCCCGCAGCCAGAGCTGCACTGCAATTCACTTTGAAGTTGGCAGCCGAACTCGAAGTCGTAGTCGAAGTCGAACTCGGTCTGCGCTAATAGCACGATTTCAGATATCGCGCAAATTTAGCGCTAATTTGATATATTTTCTGTGCATAAATTTGTGCTTAACATTTAATTCAATTAAAGCGACGCCGATCGTGGAGCTTTGTTAAGAATTCTAGCGAAAGTATGGACGAGTTTAATTTGATTAATTATGATTTCGTTCGCTGGCTGAATTCGCGGTTTTCATTTGAAAAAAAATTGATTTACTGTGGGGAAATATTCATAGAGAGTTCATCTTGTTGATGTCTGGTTTGAATTAGGGTCGCGAGAGCTTCGCAGCTGAAGATCTAATTGTGATTCATTCAGAGTTGGTTTTCTTACTCTCACTTTCATTGAAGCAATGTGAACTATCTGCTTAAAATATTATAAAGGTTTGCAATTCATTTACGTTTCATAAGTAATCAGAATGTAAGCTTCAACTTTCTCTTCTACTGCTACTTCTACTCCTACTTCTACTTCTGCTTCTACTTCTACTTCTACTTCAAAGAAACATATTGGGCATCGAAAACACTTTCAAACCTTCAGAAACTGAACTCTAAAATTCTACGCTCTTTTAACATTTTCTAGATCAATCACACCCTCCCTTAAGGCCTTATGGCAACATAGTTAATACCAAAATACCGTAGCGTAGTGATGTGCGTTAAGACCGCCTGGGAATGCACGAGCCAGCAGTTGACTGGAGCCTGTCTCATGCTCAATGGGGTTTTGACGGTAAATGTGATGTGCAAAACTATGTCAGTCAGCATCGAAATATCCTCAGTCTAGTATTTGTATAGTGGCACGTTATTCCAATTTGTCTATGTGACGGTCAAAATTGGCAAAGTTTATGAGTTTAGCACACTTTATGTGCTCATGTCGTGGGTGGAGGGCGTTTGCGTATTTCTGCTGCTCCTCGACCTCTGCTGGATTTGCTGTCGCATGGGCAATCTACTGCTGGCGGTAAGTGGAGGGGGACAAAGAGAGACAGAGATAAAGAAAGAGAGAGAGAGAGAGAGAGCTACTCTAATGAATTCCCGATTCCTTAGTCCATTATAGTTTGCTTTTCGTTGGGGGTCTTTCTGCTCTTTGCCGGCAGCTACAGCGTCATCAAGTATACGGATGTCTATGTGGTAGTGCGCAGCTTCTACACCGACAATCTGTGGAACTATGAGATCGTGTACCACTGCTGCGGCATCGATGGCCCCTTCAACTATGGCAATGTAAGCCAGAAGGACACTGTGCCAGCCTCGTGCTACCGAAAGCAAGTGGAGACTCCCGAGAATCTGTATAATCGCGGCTGCCTTTTTGCCACAGAGGATAGCTGGTTCTGGTTCGTCTTTGCCAACTGCTATTGGTTTGCCTTTGTGCTCTTCTTTGTGAATCTTATCACCCACTGGAAGCTGAGGAAACGTCTCAGAGACTACTGAACAACAGAAGCTATCGCAATTTGGCTTGATAAGATATATCGTATGTATCAGTGGATAGATCGCAGCTTTTGCTTTCGATATCTTGTCCACTTGCAAGCCGTTTCAATTGCTCGACTGTGTGCCCCGGGAGTATAGAATGCGTTGCCAACGCCCACGGCTCGACCACAAAAGCCACACAAAAAGCCATTAGCCATTAACAACGGCGGCCCACAGCATCCGCCAGGCGTTGGTTAACCACAAAATATCGTTGTCTCCATGACAGCAACTACAACAACAACAACAACAACATCGGCAGCTGCAACAGCAGCAACAACGGTGCAAATGCCTTTTAATTTGTCAAAGCCTAAAATATGAAAATTAAATGAGAAACCAAAGCAGTGCAGTGCGCACAGTGGTGCAAGACTATGTAAATATATAAATTGAGCAAAAATTCTATCCATATGGATCTTTGCTTCTATGTATCCCAATTGGAATTATTCTATATGCTAACACCGTCTATTTCTACTAAATGTTTCTTATTGGGCTGATAGAGAGCTTGCTTGGTATTAGAACCCGGATCCCACTGCTACCTATATCTAGTACTAGAGCAGTACTTCTAATCAGTCTTCACATTTGTATACTGTCAATTCGTCATGTTGAAGTCGACATTGACATTATATCATCGACTGTACCTGCCTCTGATTCGTACCCGGATAGCTGAGCCCTCTTCCATTACGAATTCAAGCCCAGCTCGCGTCATAAAAACTTCGCCAATCGGGTCAGCGAGTAGCTCTGATTGGCAAACACACACCTTCGCTGATTGGGTTAGGGCTACGCCTCGCTTAAACGCTGCGCAGAGATGGCTATCTGGCACCACTGTGCGCCGGAATGCGATCGACTCGCAGTCGGATTTCGGGCGTGTGGGTGCAATTTGCAAGCGTGCATAAATCAGCCGACAAGTGCGGGGGCAATTGTGGCCAGGGTATTGAGTTACATGCTTATGCATGCAATGCCACCATGCCGAGCACCTGGCCAGCATTTGTATGCAGCGAACAGGTGGTGCGGCCGCAGGTAGTGCACACAGAATTTGTGCAGACGCTGCAATGTGTCGCATTTGTTGCAAGCGCAAAATTGTCGCACGCGAAAGTGCCCAGCTCGAAATTAATGGGGTGCCCCCTCCATCCAACTGGTCTGGCCACGCCCCCTAGCTGAAAACGGGGGGACAAATTAATCAAATGGCAAAATTATGCAAAAAGTAAAAAGTGTTGCCAGCAGATCCTGAACGGGTTTTCAAGGTTTTCGTCGAGCGTTTAAAATGCAATTAACCTATATAACAAAAGATATATATATATGCGAAAAAAAGAAGATAAATATATGTATATAAAGATAAATGTAATATTTATGTATAAAAACTTGTCAATTTCTAGCGCTCAACAGCGAGACGACGCAGCTGGCAGAGCCGAAGACGGCGACGGAGATGGAGAGGGAGAGGGAGCGGGAGCGGGAGACGGAGCGGGAGACGGAACTGTTGCCGCCCAGCTCGATCAGCGAACTGCCCGAGAAACTGTTGAACAGCGGCGTCTATTTGCCAGGTAAACATATATCCCGACTTTCCATTTTGTTGCTCCGCATATAATTCTAGACTTTCGCTAGTCTATGAGCCGAAAAACTTATAAATATAAATTGGAAAATTCACAACGCCCCGTTAGGCAGTTAGCCTGCGAGGCCTGCCTGGCCTGGGTGAAAAGCGCTAAAATTGGCGCTCCAATTGGAATTCCAATTCGCAGTGATTTGCCAGCCATTCGATTCAATTAATTCACACACTTTTTCGCACATTAACGCGCTGCGGCCACCCAAGGCGCTGTTCGAAAGCAATTGAAATTCGTTTTGAGACTCGATTCGATTTGCATCTATTCGCAGGCACACGCACCCTCCAAGGCGACCCACTTGTCCATGTGGAGGCGGACGCGGTGGCCGCCGCTGGTCTCAATTGCTACGAGCTGGCCACGCTGTTGCTTTACTATAGCACCATACCGGAGCGCAGGTGAGTTCAAGTTGTGGGCGGGTGCAGGGTGCACGGTGCACGGTGCAGGGGCAGGGGCCATTGCCTCAATCAGAATCGGGCAGTTTAATGTCAAATGTAAAACGCATGGGAATTGGCACAGGCTCACAGTCCAGGCATTTCAATTTGTGTTGCAATACAACAACAGCAAAACAGCAGAGAGGAAAAGAAACAACAACATGTAGCAAGAGCTAAGTTCATAGACTCACAAGCAGCCCATCCATATTTACGAGCTGATATGCAAATGTGCAGTTAAAGCCTGGCCAAGAGCCACCAACGTGCGCTGGGAACAGTCGAAGACGCGAAGAACGCGATGCCGCTGCACTTAAGCCTTTAAGATGTTCTAACGGTGGTGCAAGAGGGAAAGCACCACTGCCCCTCTCTCTTACGCTCTCCCGCTCTCTCTATCTCACAGTTGCTGTCTCTTTTTGCTGCGCTTGCTCAGTCGTCTGGCTGTCTGGCAATCAGGCAGTCGAACTCATTGCCGCTTAAGAATATGCATGCCAGTCAATTTGCCACTTTGGCTAAAAGGAAACATGCAACAACAGCAACTACAACAACAACAACAACAACAGCAAAACAACGAACAGCACTTGCATTGAATGCTGAGAACTTTACCACAGAAAATAGAACAAAAGCTTTAGCTAAAAGTCAATAACACTATAGAGCCAACTGCGCTTTATTAACTCCATTTTTATGGGGCTTACGTTGGAGTTGGAGTTAATGTCAGATAGATAAAATTTTATAAATCTTCATTATTAGAAAGCTAAAGTAAGGTGTTGGTTACGTAGTTCAGTAGCCAAAAAAGATATCGAAAATTTATATCCTGATAAAGAAGTTGAAATGTCGAATATATAAATAGTTAGTGCCATCTCTCTCTTGACTTTACTTAAAGATATATGTTCACATATGCATATTCTTATCTTTAAGAGCAGTTAAGCACATATTAATCAGCTTTAATCATGTTTATCTGCGACGATTATCTATGCATGCTCTTTAATATTCAAAGATACTTTTGCTACTTACTGGAGATAGGCTTCTAGTGATTGACCTAAATTGTAATTCCATCTGCAGTGCCCAATAGACTAGGCTCGTAAATTGCTTGTGGCCTACTTAGTGGAAGAGAATCTTGGACTTAAGCTGGCAACTTTGTTGTCTAGTGTAGCTTAGAATTCTCGTTTTTAGCTCCGCTAGGCAGGCAGGCAAGAAGCATTGGCAGACACATTGCTTGAGGGACTCTGCGGTTGCGGCTTCCCTTTGTAGCGAACCAAAGAGGGAGACAACTCCAGCCGGAGCAGGAGAAAAGGGGCGGGAGAGAGAGGGGGAAGCGGCTGCCGCTGCTGCTGCTGCTGCAGGCATATGAATGATCTTTCAGACAGATTCGTGACACTTTGAATTTATGATGTGAACTTTTGTGGCCCAGCGTTGAATGCTCGCTGTGTGTGTGTGAGTAAGTGTATGTGTGTGTGTGTCGACTGCTCTACCACGATTCCTGGAAATATCACAGAACAATCTGCGAAATCTAAATCGACATACGTAATAGAGAGACAGAGAGAGAGAGAGAGAGAGGGAGAGAGCGAGAGGGAGAGAGAGAGCTGGCAGTCAGCTATTGCTGATTCTGATTCTGATTCGGATGCAGAATCCCGTTTCGACTTGAGTTCCAGCTGCATGTTAATTGCTTCAATGCCAATTGCTAAAATGCGGCCAAATCGTGTAGAAAACTTTGACAAACATTTGCTCAGATTTTGTTATGCTCAAGCAAGGAGACACCTTCCTCTCTCTCTCTCTCTCGCTCTCGCTAGATAACTGGCACAACATGTCATCAGACATGCGTATGACACTAGAAACTTGAAGTTTGGACAGAGCTCAGTCACACTGTGTATACTATCCCCCCTCTCTCTCTCTGTCTGTCTCTCTCTCTTTCTCTCTCAGTCGCACGCTCTTCAAGTGCAGCCATTGACATTATTTGCTGTTTGTTTGCGGACATGTGTAAGGTATTCATTAGCTGGCTGTCCGAATCCAAATGCCAGTCTATGCTGCACGCAAATATTAAATATTTGAGCTGAGTCAAGTTTTCACCAGGAGAGTCTGCGACTCGCTCTGTGGCTTGGAACTGGGCGCAGTGTCAACAGCAAACTTTGCTTGTTGTCTTTGACAACTTGTCGCTTAACCAAAAACTTACATCATCAACAAGAGCTCCTCCATTTGACCCTTCTCTCACACAACAATTGTGTCTCTAGCTGTCTCTCTCTCTCTCTCTGTGTGTGTGTGTGACAGCTTGCAATTAAATTAGTTTTTATGGGGCCTGCACTTCTGGGAATCTTTAAATGCCGCCTGCAACGAGTGGCAAAGGTATTAATATGCATGCCTGTGCATAATACAAATATAAATATAAAGAAAACTCGGGTTACACACGAACGACCTGGCCTAGGACTGCACTCATAAATTTATTGCACTCACTGCACTTGGAGTCCAATGAAATATGCATAACATTTGTCTGCACGCCGGCCATAGCATAGGCCTTAGTTTACATTTAAGAGCCAAAGCATTTCTGTTAAGCTGTGCATCATTGAAATGCTTAACTTATATTTCCCTTTTAATAAGTTTTACCTCTTCACGCTTACATTTTCTACTTATGTTAAGCTGTGTAGCCCTTGAGGCAGCCTCTGCTTATATTTCCCCCTTTAATAGTCACAGCTCATAAAATAGCAGTCGCTGTAGTCAGTCCAGCTGAGTCTCTTTTTCATTTACAGACTGCATTCATAATAGCAGCTTAGCTTACAGATAGCTCCTATAATAAATAACATTTGCTGTTTATGTAAAGATTAAGCCCGTAGGCAGCTTGTCTTATATTGCCCTTTAAAATATTTACAGCTCTTATAATAGCATTCGTTTGTATTGCTAAGCAGAACTTATAGCTTCTAGAGTGCTAATATTCAGGGGTTATATTTTTATTTGAAAATGTAATTTAATTTTAAGTAATAATTTTATATAGCAGCTCTAGGCACACTTTTATTTTTGTATTTCTATATACAAAGAAGAATATAGGAGTAGCTGCTCGTTGGCAGCTTAACAGCCGCAGCACTTGATGTCCCAATAGCCACAGCTCTGTTAATAGCTGCTCTCATGTACATACTTGCATATTTAACATAACTGCCTTTTAACAGCATTAACAGAATACACAAATTCAACTCAATTGCTTAACAGTGAAACATGAAAGTGAAATGTTAAACATAAATGCAAGCATTTACAGACAGCTGTTAAACTAGGCTTACAGCAAACGAGTAATTAAATTGCAAGAAATTGAATAATAAATAATTATGTTAGATATTTAATTATGTTACATCAAGTTGAGCTCAATTTTCTGCTGCCTTAA